TTTATCATCAGGACAAATGTGTTCAGGAAGATCAGGAAGATGATGAAGCTTCTGAAGACCATGCCTGAGGTTTGTCATTGAGGAAAACTCAGGACACTAATTGCCTGTCAAACTCCATGGACAGAGGCACTCACAAATGGGACTCAGAGATGCACTGAGCACTATGGGACATACTGTTCCACGGACAAGCTTGGGCTTGTCTCAGTACCCTGGCCACAGAGTTCTGCCTTTGACAAGTGACACTCCAAGCACTGGAAAAGCTGCAAAGTGGTCCCATGAAAAGCTGCTGGGCAACAGCTGCTCACCTGAGAAAGGCATCCGAGGAGGGCTTGGGCCTCAGTACTTCAGCCCTCCAGCACTAAGTCATTCACACGGTCCCTGCTCACCCATCACTGGGCAAAGACAGTGCAGGCTGCCAGTACACGGAGCCTCTCTCCCAGCAGGAAGCCAGTTTGATCCATCCCATTCCCAGAGCTTGCCCTCCTCCCCCCCAACTTGGAGGGAGCCTGTCTCCCGTGGGCCAGCACTGCCCGCTGCTGCATGGTCATCAGGCTGGCTGTGGAGGATACTGCGCAGGAGCCAGGATGCCCAAAGGGCGAGGGGAGGCCAGGGGCTGCTGCGGACATCAATGTGGCTACACAGGTGTTTCTCTGGGGTGATGAGGGTCTTCCTGATGGGACTGATGTTGAAACGGACCAGCTGGTTATGATCAGCGAGCAACAGCTTCCTCTGCTTCCTGGGATCTGTGTAGAGACTAAGCAACTCCTAAGGGGGTCTGCCTTCTCCCGTGACTGGCAGGGGTGGCAGGCATGCTGCTGGAGGGATGAACTAAGAACCGGTGGCACTGGACAAGGTCTGGCCAAGCAGCACTCTCCAAACAGAAGCAGATGGAGGAAGGACAAGGAAGGAACACTGGAGAAGGAAAGAGCAGACTTTGCTGGACAGTTTAGTAGGCTGTGTCCAAATCCCCCCAAGAGGCAGGCCATCCTGGATGTGGAGCTTCCTCAAACAACTACACACAGCTGCGATCAGGCTGGGCTTTGAACCTGCCTTAAATCAAGTCATGTATAGCATTCAGCAGATGCTGTGGGATCACACAGCAGAGCTGGGGTCAGGACACAGGAGCCCAGCCGTCCCTGTGACAATCCAAGCTTCCATCCAAAGCACTTAATTCCCGGCCACCTTTTTCACTCTGCTCTATGCGCAGCCTCGGCCAGACCTGTTACTGGCCACTGAACTGGGGTGTGCAGGAACATTAAGAGGTGCTTTTCTGCCCTGGTGCCATCAGTGAAGTATTTTGGAAGTGGAAATAACTGCATGCTGCCTGTTTGCCAAATTACCAAATACAGGACAGTAGCTGTGTCTCTTTCTCCTGCTCTAGATGAGACCTGAGCAGAGGATGGGTACAGCTGGAAAAAAACGTTTAGGCTAGGCTGACTTACCATGCTGCAGCAATATCTATGCAAACAGAGGTGTGAGAGGGGATAGGTCTTAATCTGTCCCTTTCAACCCTGCCAGAGAGAAGAGGTGGAGGTGCTGCTGGCCAGGTGTGAGAGTCTGGCAGATCTGAAAGGCTCTCAATGGTTAGATTATTGCCATAAACCCTTCCTTTTGAGGGGAAAATCCTGACCTCCTGCCTTTCTCCCATTCTGCCAAGCTCTCAGGCACAGCCTTTCACCCACGCCCTTGGGGAGCGATGCAGAGAGCAGGTGGCAAGGCGGACGGTGAGACAAGCATCTGTGCTACCCATTCACTGCCAGCCTGGCAGACAGGCATCTGGTTACCAAGGAAATCCTTGATGTAGTGTCGGGGGGTCGCTTGGCTCAGGCTCTGGAGGTGATCCACCAGGTAGAACATGCAGACCAGCTTAGAGCGAATGGCCTCAGCCCGGGGAAGCACCTTCACTGGGGAGCATCTAACGTTTCTGCAAGCATCCTCCGTGCTCTGAAACAGAGAGGAAGAGCAGCAGCGTGGAAGGTGCCCGTGCTGGCCGCGCCGGGCAGGAGCCTCACCTGAGGATTCATGGCTCGGGCGTTTCTCCGCGCTGCCCTTGCGCTCGGAGGCTCTTGGCGGCACAGAACACAGGCTGACCTCACAGTGTGGAACAGAGGGAGCGCGGAGCCCTGCTCCGGGCGGGAGCCTGTCCGGGAACAGCCACCGCGGCTGATGACGGCCAGCGTGGAGGAACCTGCCCAGTTACAGCCAGGGTGTGCAGCGCTGCGCATGCAGTGCTGGCAGTGCGAGAGCCCCCCACTCCCACTGTCCCCCCAGGCCTGGCCCAGGCACCGGGAGCGCTGGGGCCCGGCCGGCGGGCTCACCTGCATGTGGGGGCCTGCTCTGCGGTAGGATGTGCGGTGCAGCTGTTTCACACGGACTAGCAAATGATGGTCACATCCAAGTGAGCAGTGTTATTTCCCAGGCTCATTGCTGTCGTGTCGGACACGGGCTCCCCCGCAGCCTTCCAGCCTTCCGGGCCGTGTGCCCCGCTCCCTCCCGCCACTGCCTGGTTCTGCCTGCGGGGGCTCTGTCGGTACCCGTATTCACGATGTGGCACGACAGAGGTCAAACTCAGAGAAATTCCTGATTCCTCCAGCAGTAGCTAGTCCATTTTCAAACCACTAACAGCCAATGTAGTGTGAACGCCCTCTGTGCCATGGTATGGACAGCTGGGTGTATGCACCAGGTTGTGCAGATCTGGTGGGCAATACCCGACCCCACTGTCCTTCTCTTTCCCATTCCTCGGTTTCCAAATCACCCTCTGTGTTTTTCAGGCCTCCATAAACTCGCAAAATATTTCCTCCTTCATTCTTTTTTCCTTCATCTTCCTAAACTAGTCTGTTCTGATTTTGGATCCTTTAGGAGTAATTTCTGTTAGGCAATAAAAATAACAGGTGATTCTTTTGTTTCTATAACAGGAAAGATCAGTTTTTTTCAGCCCTGCAGTTTTGAAATACCATCTCTAGAGTCTTGTTCTTAGGCGAGTCTAGAGAACAGAAATTTCTCCTGTGCTTTTGGAGAAAGAATGTGGCAGCAAGGATTTGGAGCACCTCCAGAAGCAGGGAACATCAGCCATGGTCAGCATTAGGCAGCTCTTGTGCTGTATTCCTCATAAGGAAACCCCGCAGGACTATGGCACTATCAGGAGGTGGTCGAGGGACACGAAACGAGCATGCCTGCTTACAGCTCACCAGTGAAGGCTGGCGCTTCAGCAGTAGCTCGAGTATTAAAGGACGTGATGTGCTCCTGATCATGCCACCAAACAGTAAAGGTTATAAATGAAGGCTAATGGATTAAGACGAACCCGATGCTGACTGTGGCTAGGAGCACAGAAGCACTGCAAGGCGGGGAAACACAGCCCTGCTTTATAGCCATGGAAAGGGATCCGGCAGAGGGCTGCAAGGTCGGCTGTGTAAGAGCGATTGCGAGGGCGGAGGATGAAGCACTTCTCAGAGCCGTCTCCCGAGGCTGTGCTGCAAGGCTGCTGGGCTGGACACGCACCTGCACAGCGCTGGAGGCAGAAACAACTCCCCCAAAACCACGTGCAAGTGTTACTTCCCGACTAACGGTGTGTCTTCCACACAGGACGGCCTTGGCAGGGCTCTACTAACAATCAGGTAGTGATGAAACGGGTGAACTCCCCTCCCCTAGATGCTGGCAATCCTTCAACAGCAGGTGGCTCTCCGTCAGTTGGTGCCTCCAAGACCCGTTTCCTGGGCCCAGCAGAGCCCAGCATTACTGGGTGGTGCGGGCTGGGTGGTGGGCCGGGCCCCGGGTTACTGTGCAGCCCACCGACGTCGGCCCAGGCCTGGGGAACCGGGCAGCCCGGGGACGTCGGCCTGGGCCAGGTAGCAGGACGG